ACACACACACACACACACACACACACACACACACACACACTGATGCTCTTTAAGTAACAGAATTTTCATGTTAAAAAATTGGGACTTCCCTGGCGGTCCAGTGGTTAGGACTCTGTGCTTCCACTGAAGGGGGCACGGGTTTGATCCCTGGTCTGGGAACTAAGATCCCACATGCCGCGTGGCCAAAAAAATAAATAAATAAATAAAATAAATTATGGAAACTTGATCAAGGACTAAAAGTGTAATTATCTCTGTAAGATCAAATACTATACATCCCAGTGTATACTAAGTTATTGTTTCTAGAAATATCCTCTGTATACACACATTTTAACAAGTGTCTAAAATAATGATGATGATGATGCTAATAATAACAATACATACATATCAGTGTGACTTATCAGTTAAGATGCTGTGGTAACAACAACTCCCAAATCACTGTGGCTTAATGTGACAAACATTTATTTGACTCTCTCTATATGTCAAATGTCGATCAAAAGAGGGATCTTGTTCATCACGCCATTCAGGACTCAGCTGATAGAGACTCCTTCTCAGTACGTATTTCCACAGCCTCTATAGAGGTGGTAAGAGAATGGGGCAAATTGTGCACTGGCTCTTAGAGCTTCCATGTGGGTGTAACACCAGTCACTTCTGCTTACATGTTACTGGCCAAAGCAAGTGACATTGGTCATGTCTAATTTAAAAACAGTTGGTGAAGTGCAGACCTAACACATGCCTGGAAGATGATGAGCCAGAATATTTCTGAGTAGACCTAATGACTAATGACATGTAGACTATGGTCAGTGGTTGAAGTTTGGGGGCAGAAATATAATTTCCTTTGATATTATTTCATATTCGAGGCTTGAATAAATAACTTCTACAAATCATCACCATCATCAGTAACACCACATAATGACGTATTACTACTGTATGCAAGGCACTGTCATAAGTAGGCTACACGAGTAAGTCCTTTAGTCCTCACAAGCTTGAAAGATAGATAGGCACTGTTATTATCCCCTTTTTTTTCCAGTGAGGAAGCTAAGGCACAGAGAGTTTTCCCCTGCACCTATAGGAGGCAATGCTTGTAGTGTTTTTCTCATGAAAGCAATTTTTCATTGAACTTGGGAACAGATGCATCACTATAGAGTGAGGATAAAAGTTCAATGTGAAGGAAGAAATTTTCAGTTTCAGAGATCATATCCTCAATAGTTTTAAATATGGAAAAATCCATTACTGTCTCAGAAATGCCCCAGAACCTCCCTTCCCTTTTTAAAGCACGTGGAACCTTGTGGCTGGTAACCCTTTTCCTCACCTTGGGAGTCCACCTTGAGGATACTGGGTGTCATTTTCTGAGAGCAGTGCTCAAATGAGACCATATGACCCATGTGAGGTGGATAACAATGAATCCTGAACAGGAAGAGGTTGGGAAACTGGCCCAATCTTCATTTTCAGAAAGTTTTTTGACTTGAGCAAATTCACTCCTATAGCAACCAGCTCTTCACATCAAGGGGATATTGGGAAGAGTAGCCCTTATCAAACCACATGAAGGTTTATTGCCATCTTCTCTGGGACAATGAGTGTCTGCTCATCTTATGTTTCTATAACGATGAGAGACACTGAAGAGACTCCTAAGAAAGAAGATTTGCTCCAAGGTGTCTGGCTGTGTCCTCCTAGACACAACTATCATCAGCTTCTCTGGCTAAAAACGGAGTTTAAATTCTGCTTTATCAGGCTCTCTGACACACTGGGAAAGTTGTTTCCCTCTTCCCTCTTTCAACTTGAGAAAAAAAACGGAAAGGATTTAAATGTTCTATTTACTATAACCTTCAGGAAACTTGAAAACTCTGGGGGATTTAGAGTCATAGAAGGTCAGAGAGCAGCTACACCAGTGGCTCCCTGACTTTTTGACCCCGAGATTATGCAAATTATTTTTGTTAATTCAACAGCAACATTTGAAAAATGGTACAAATCTATGGGAGAGATTGTTACTTTTCAAGTCCACAGCCAACACCACAGACCCCTTTATGTAATCATCTGGGATTCCAGAGTCCCCAGGTCAGAAGAATCTCTGATTTATACCAATTTACCCATTTTATGACTGATGAAATAGAGGCTGAGGACTTTGCTTAAGATTCTGCAGTGAATTATGAGCAAAGTAGAAATCGAAATCTGGGTCCCCTGTCCCCAGCATTCTGCCTCCACTTATTTGGGCTTGGTGTGTGCATGTACCTGGGATCAACTCTAGAAGATGCAGAAAGTATCTACTCTATGCCTCTAGAAAGCCCTTTCAGCACCTCTGCCCCCTCCCCTTTGCCTACAGCCATTAAAAAAAAATGTTATGGAAATATAGTTGGTTTACAATGTTGTTAGTTTCAGGTGTACAGCAAAGTGAGATAAAAATATATATAAGATTCTTTTCCATTATTTGTTATTACAAGATATTGAGTATAGTTCCCTATGCTATACAGTAGGTCCTTGTTGGTTATCTATTTTATATATAGTAATGTGTATATTTTAATCCCAACCTCCTAATTTATCCCTCCTCCCCTTTCCCCTTTGGTGCTATAAGTTTGCTTTCTATGTCTGTGAGTCTCTGTTTTGTAAATAAGTTCATCTGTATCATCTTTTTAGATTCCACATATAAGTGATATCATATGATATTTGTCTTTGTCTGACTTACTTCACTTAGTGTGATAATCTCTAGGTCCATCCATGTTGCTGCAAATGGCATTATTTCACTCTTTTTATGGCTGAGTAATATTCCGTTGTGTGCCTACAGCCACTGAGATGTTGTCCCCAGTGTGGGATATTTCTGGGGGCCCGAAGAAAAGCATTTCTTCTCTGCTGCTGCTCCATCTTTTGCCTCTGTCCAGGGCAACATATGACATCAGGGTTCCTAAATCCAAAAGAAGAGAAAACCAGGCAAATATTCTTTTCAACAAGATGTTTCTGAGGCATTTAAGACCAATTACAAATTTAAAAATAAAAATTTTTTAACTAAAAAAAAACTTAGACTAACTCTCAGTGAGATGTGGAGTAATATTTAACAGTTTACCAAGCCCCAGAACACATTTATGAGCCTCCTTCCTGAGGAGTAAGACTACTAGTAAAATAAGTACAGGGAAATCAGCATTTTCATGACATGCTGAGCTCAAGCCATTATTCTTCCTTTGGGCCTAAGTTGGTTGCTTAAAATGTCTTTCAGAAGGGTTATCCCCTCTTCTCACACTTTAATAAAAGGTTTGTGTAAGACTAATAGGAAGTGGAAAGTGGGTATTTCAAAATATTCAGCTTCTACTCTGAGGAACTGAGTGTGATGCATCAGATTTTAATCTATGGAACTAATAAAGGTTTAAATAGGCAGCAGAGTTAGATATTAAAAACTTAAGAGCCTGTGGGAAAAAGCATCAGTGGAGTTCTACAGATTTTAAGAGATTTGGTAAAGACTTTTAAAATCTCACAAAGCAAAAGGCATCTGTAATTCATGCTTATTTTGATTTGGAGACCAGACCTCTGAGAAGAGTCAATGATTGAAAGAAAATGTTTCCCCGTGTTAAAGGACTCAGTCATCGATTGGTTGGGCTCATTGACTTTTTCTTGGCCTGAGCCTGTTTCAGTCATGAAAGAAAAAGGTATCCAAGATGAACTGGGAATCAGCCATCAGTGCAGTTTTACAAGTAGCGCAATACACACATTCTACCACGACAGGATATACTTTGGTTGGACACCATCTTAAGTCTCTCCTCTCCAGAAGTTTCTGATTTAGTTTATGGGGAGATCTCATCTGCTGATTGTGAAATATATCTCCAACTTTACGATGGAAACCGTTGGGAATGTATATTAACTTTATAGGGAATATTGCTGGAAGGCACTTGTAAAATGAGAGCCACCCCTGTATGACTACAGGAGAATTTATGGTTTTCCAATAACCAGCCTTTCGGAATTGAATAGTCTTGCCTCAGAGAAGTGACAAAGTCGAGGTGTTTTACAGGAGACTCAAAATTTATTTCCAATCCTGCTTTTGAAAAGCCATTTTCATAATTCTAAGCTGTAAGATTATCTCTCCTCAACTTCACCTTTTTATTACTGTTAAAAAACACTTTATCCCATTAGATGCTAAATCTTAATCACAGGGTTCTACGTCTCCAGGAACCCAGAAATACACTTCTGTGGAAGTAAGACAACTCTGTAGTTCTATTGCCAGACTTTACAATGACGTTTTTCCTGAAAATTCGGCAGGAAAATAGAACAAAAGGTAGGGAAGGAAAACAGACAGGATAGAGAAGTCGGGTTTCCCCTTCTCTTTATGCCTCATTTGCCTTGTAAATAAGCCTCTATGGAAGCAGTCATAAGCGAAACTCATAGCAGGAGACATGTGCTCGAAAATTACTATTTGAATAGCTGGAATCCAAGAAATCTGGAGGCCTTTTAGACAGTACATACATTTTTAGGTAAAGGGAAATATTCAGTTTTCTAGAAAATCACCATATATCAAGGTCCATTTCTTCTTAAAGGGAAGCATCACGCTGGGGAGGAATTTCAGGAAACTTGCCTCACCTTCAAGTTGTCTCACTCCCATTTGCTAACAGGATGAAGAAGCCCAGCTCCCCCAAGTCCACTCCTAGCACCCCTCTGCACCCATCCCCTAGGGGTGTCTCCTTTGAGTGTGGAAGAGGAAACATTTTTCTAGAAGCTACATGATTGGCTTTCCCTCCTCCCTTCCTCTTTCCCTGACTCTCCTCCTTCCATCCTTCCACAGATATGTAGTGAGCCCCACAGTTGAGCCTGGCATTGCCTTATGTGGGGATACAATAGTGAACAAGATGCAGTCTTCCAAAAGCTCACAGTTAGGTTTCTAGACAAGAAAACCAGCCCTTCCACTTAGTGTGAGAAGTACTAACCTGGACAGATACTTAGGAGCGACTAACCCCCAGAAGTCTGCACCGTTGCTTTGCTTTCTACCCTGAAATTCCATACAGAAACTTGTTTTAGCTCTTGTCTCTTTTTCTTTCCCATGAAAGCAGCACATATTGTTTTAACTTACGTCTCTTGTTAAATAAGGTTAACGTCTTTGTGTTTTGCCCCAAATTATATTGAAAAACATAGATATTGTTTAATGAAAATGAAGGACTGCAATAAAGAGTACATATACTTGAGAAAACATCTGCAAATTTAAAAACTGACTGCAAAAACTTTAAAATTCTTTTGTTAGGTTTGCTGAACAACTCACTAAATGGTTGCTTTTACCATCCACTTTAAAAAGATACATTTTTTTCCCCATAGCCTTAACAACAGTCATCTGAGTGGTTACCTTTTCAATATTGCTTTTAAAATGCCTTTTCAGCTCTGACGGGTCATAACCACTCCCCTGGCTTCCTTCCCCACAAGCGAGCTCTGGCCCCATACCAGTGATTTGAGTCCTCTCCTCAGCTGGCTGCAGCTCAGTTTTTAACTTAAGCTCGCTTTTTTCCTGAGTGGATCACATTATGCTTGGAGTTATAGATGATTCAAAGAATGTTAGTAGAGGTTCCCTAGTCTGGAGTTTTTGAGAAAGGGCAAAGATACAAGAAAAGTAACAATCCAGAGATAATGTGCCCTTTGGTACAGTGATAGAGAAGGTATCACTGATTGATCACCACTTAGAGGATTCGGTAATAATACATGCCATGGCAGTGGAAGTGGGGGAGCTGTGAGCTGCAGTGATCTAATCCGGGATGGTGTCTTAGTCGGCTGGGGTTGCCATAACGAAATGCCACAGACTAGGTGACTTAAGCAACAGAAATTTATTTTCTCACAGTTCTGGAGGCTAGAAGTCCAAATTAAGGTGCTACCAGGTCTGGTTTCTTGAGGCCTCACTCCTTGGCTCAAAGATGGCCGCTTTCTCTCTGTGTCCTTACAAGGTCTCTCCTCCATGCAAGCAGGCCTCTTCATGTCCTAATCTCCTCTTCTTATAAGAATGCCATTCGGATTGGATTAGGGCCCACACTAACAGCCTCATTTTAATTTAATTATCATTTTAAAGGCCCATCTCCAAACACAGTCACATTCTGAGTGAGTTACCAGGGGTTAGGGCTTCATGCATAAGAACTTGGAGGACATAATTCAGTCCGAAACAGGTGGCTTTTTGGAGAAGGGTGACAGTAAACTAGCTCTGTATGAAATGGCATAGGGATGTGATGGGTTGAAAGGTGGGGGAAACATTCAACTGACAGAGACAAACTAGGGCACACACTGGGTTTCTTCCCATCCTGAACAAGCTTCAAGACTGACAGACTTTCTTCCTCTTCAGGAGACAGGAGCACATCATTCTTGGCAGGACAGGCGCTAACCAACCTTGACTGGGGGAGTGACTGTAAGTTTATATTTAAGTGACTCTCTTCTTTGTTTTTGTGGAGCCAGGCAGAATACTAACAAGCTGTGAAAGCATTACTGGAGTAAGGCACAGGGACGGAGGCTGCACTCTGCCACAAACACCCGTGGGAGTACATTTTGATAATCGAGGCCTCCCTAACCATTAAGGAGGCATTAGAAATGGTTGCATACCGCTAGGCCTTTTGGTTGATCTTCATGGATTTTAATAATTTATTTGAACTTCCTGCTCTCTTCTTCTATTTTTCTGCTAAATTTTTAGTTGGTTTTCTGTTTTCTGATTTTTGTTGAATCTTTCTTTATTGGCCAGATTGCATATCACATTGCGCTCTCCATTTTCAATAAATCTCAATTTAGTAGGACTTCCACGATCCAGGCATTGTTTTGGATATTATGAGGCTGTCTATTGGAGCTTGTTTTTTTTTTGTTTTTTTTTTTTTAGTTTTCTTAAAACTTACTGTAACAACAACAAAAGCCTTCTCCCCTTTCTTCTCCTTTTTTTCCCCCATTTGAATGCAAATGGAATCCATTTATCTAGGAAACTCTTATTTCACAATCTGCAATTTGGAGCCTGCGCTGGAGCACAATGCTCTTTTTCTCTGCAGAAAAGTTTACTTTATTTCTTCTCAATTCAGGGATTGATACAACCATCAGTTCTATTCAGATTATGGAAATCCAGCAAATAATAGATCGTCGGTATTGCAGTAGAAGCCTCCAGTGCGGGTGGGTAAGCCTCCCCATTATCCCCTGATTGTTTCTGGAATTTACTCAGGGCTCTGGGTTTTTGAGACTGGAATGAAAGCTAATGCTACCCGGTAAAACCGATGTGTGCTTACATTGCTCCTTAAGTGAAAACACATTTGTTGCATGGTGGAAGAGGGAATCATAAAATGGTTGGTATTAGCAAATGTCAATAAACCACGGCTCCAAAGATTGCAGTCTCCTGGTTTAATGGGTAAGTCCAAAGCTAAAAGCTTAGGGGGCAGCTCTGTGGCTGACTCTCTGAGGCCACATACCATAGGCACAGAGCTGTTAGTTAATTTTATAGAAAAGAAAGACATTATTACTGATGGCTCCAAGTTATGAGTGAGCTGACATTTGTATATTTTAATAACAAGGGATATCATTATTTTAATTGCTGAAAAATATAGCTTATCCTAACCTTTTCAGTTAAGAGAAAAAAATCTGGGTACTGCAAAAGTTATCAGCAATGTTCATCTCTAGTGTATCGCCTGCATCAAGGTAACAATGCATCTAGACGCATAGAGGTCAAGCATAGAAGCTTCAGCAAACACAATATGCAAGTTGTAGGCATTAAGAATAAGGAGTTATTTTTCTTTATTTGATCAGTATTTACTGGTTTAGTTAAACCTGCTAATATTTAAGCCTGCTAGGTTAAAGGCAAGGCTGTATATTTTGAATTGGTGTCACAAATCCTACGGATTCTCAGCCTTATTTCTTTTTCAGCCTAATGTACCTTAGGCTTCAGGCTGATGGTCCTGACTTTTGAAAATAACCTGTATGGTGCTTTATGATTTGTTTATGACCTTTACATTCATTATGTCATTGAATTCTCACAAAATCACATGAGGTTGGTATTATCCCCATTTTGCTGTTACAAAACTTGAGGCTCAGTGAGCTTGAAAAAGTCAAGAGACAGACATAATTGGTTTGGTAGAATGACGTAATGAAGAGTGAGATGATTTGGGTTCAAATTCCAGCACTTTGACAAGATGTTTATTCTCCCTGCGTACCTGTTTCTCATCTGTAAGATGAGGATACTTACTAGCTAAGGAGTTGGGTGCCTGGAAAGCACACAGATGTTGGGAGGCACATAGTAGGAAAAGAATTCTATTTACCCAAGCTTCCTCCAGTAGGACAAAGCCCTCCCGATCCCAGTTCAGATCTATTGCTTTTATTTTTGCTTTCTTATTTTTAACAGCCCAGTTTAATATTCATTAACGGAAATTTTAAATGATTGGCTCTTTCCCCCATTTATCTGGTTTTAAGTTATTTCTCCATATAATTCAAGGGATGGCCAGTCATAAGAACTTGTATTAGATACAATAAGCCTTTTTGCTAGGGTTTTCATTACAGTAGGGATCAGTGGAACTCCCCCCTTTCCCTAAGCATCCCTCGTCAAGGGCGGGAGGAATGTCTGTATAAGCATTTCTGTCTTGCAGTTTTCTCCATTACTAAATGGTAATTAGGACTATAATAATTTTAGTTGATTCCAGTTCTGAAAGTACATGATATTTCCTGCTAATGTTGCCTAAAAGGGAGTGGTTTACTGTAAAAAAGCTGGTATTTATTATTTCCAATTTTCTTTCCAGAGGGATTGTTAGTTTGAGGACTTTGCCTCATTTGTCTTCTGAAATCTGTATCTCCTTAAGGGGAACTGAAGTCATTTCCTATTTGTTTAGTTTTGTGCATATGGTCTGGGATTTGACTTTCTGTCATTTCTTCTGTGTATTTTAACAAACCATAAATCTTTGTGGTATATTTCATATATAGTAAGATCCGAAAGAGATCACTTTGAAATTTAAACTTGATTTTCTGTATCTGTTACGTATTATAGAATATTTCACAGTTTACATAGTATACAAAAAGTAGAAAAAACCCTTTTGAACCCTTTCCTGAGTATTTTGATTTGTGGTTTTTTTTCCATAATTAGGTCTGGAAATTACAATTACCATATTCCTGTTAATAAGTACACACCTACCAATGTCAAATTCTCTCTGGAAATCAAGTAAGTGCATAGCTGTAAAAGACAATTCTGTTTTTTATCATTATTTGAATAACAATACTGAATTTCCTTCACAATTTGATCAATAAGTTAGGAGGTGGAAAGTTATCAGTTAAAGAATAATGGTTGGGTTGAGAGTTAGGCCAGCTTGAGGGAGGGGTTTTCAAAATGAAGGTTGGGGCCTTCCAGGCTCCCTCCAGTGGAATGGAAAGGCTCTGTGCTGTATACTCATACCTACAAAGTGACAATGACCCTGGGTTTGATGCTCTCAGACTGCCCCTGGCTGTGTCCCTTTGAATTGGGGTGGGAACTAGAGTAATAGTGTGGCCCTGGCCCCCTGGATGTGGGGGGCTGCACATTTTTGTGAGCTTCTGGGAGCAATGCTAATGCAGACACCACCCCCTTCCCCCAAGGGAGTTGAAAAAAAGAAGTCAGAGTTTGGAGGTGGGCAGACCAGTGTTCAGATTTTGTCTCTGTCACTTACTAATTCAGTAATCTTGGGGAAACCAGTCATCCTCTCTGAGCTACTGTTTATTCATTTGTAAGACGTGTTTGACATTATACCATAACAAGGAGAGCTGCTGTGAGAATCACAGATAATAGTGAAATTAATAACTACCATTTGCTGAGCACAGACTATATGCCAGACACTCTACACTTTACTACTGGGTCATATAATCCTCTCAACAATCCGCTGAGGTTGGCATTTTTTTTTCTGGTTTATATTTTTCAGATGGGAACAGTTAGTTTAGAGAGGTCAAAAAGCCTGTCCCAAAACTCATAGCGAGTAAGTGGTGGAGCTGGGCTTCAAATCAGCCCTTCCTTTTAGCCATCACTTTCCTGCCTCCCCAGTGACATGAGATATTTAAGAACATTGGCCCTTCCTGGCACATAGCAGGCACTTCATATTATGACTGCCTTTCCTCCAAAAATCACAAAACTCTAATCTATTTTATCAGCTATTTAAAATAATTATGGTACTTTAAGACTTTTGCAGAAATTATGCAGTGAGATACCATGCAGATAGATGGTGTTTATTTTGTGTCTCTTGATGTCAGTTTCTCCTTTGTCCCTTCCACATTTCCTCTCTTCTCCCTTTCCTTTCTCCCTTTCCTCTGTCCTCCCCACTTTCCCTCTGTTTCCCCAGCTCTGTTACTCTTCCTCCATCAGTCCCTCCCCCCTCCCCACCCCATCTCTTCCTCTGTTTCACTCAGACTTCATACTCCTTCTCTCATCCACTTTGCTTCTACAATGAGCTAATGACACACGCCAACTGCTTGCCTTGGAAAGGTTTGTTTCAAGCAGCTAAAATTCCATGACTTAGAACCCACCATATTTACAGGCAGAGCAAAAGCTAAATGGACTATTCTCTAGCACTCTCTAAGCAACCTGGAATATAGTTTCCTCATTCGTTCCTAGCTTCGATGGAGGGAAATAAGTGAAGTGGTATATCCCCTGAAGTGGCAGATGGTCATCTTGAACCACTAAACCAGGCTATTTTTTTTTTTAATATAAATTTACTTATTTATTTTTTGGCTGTGTTGGGTCTTTGTTGCTGCTTGTGGGCTTTCTCTAGTTGCGGTGAGCGGGGGCTACTCTTCGTTTTGGTGTGTGGGCTTCTCATTGCAGTGGCTTCTCTTGTTGCAGAGCACGAGCTCTAGGCGTGTGGGCTTCAGCAGTTGTGGCGCACAGGCTTAGTTGCTCTGCGGCATGTGGGATCTTCCCGGACCAGGGCTCGAACCCGTGTCCCCTGCATTGGCAGGCGCATTCTTAACCACTGCGCCACAAGGGAAGCCCCTAAATCAGGCTTTTTAGATTAAGAACCATTTTTTTCTAACATGGGTGATCTTAAAATAACACATATACTCAACCGAGATTGTAGGTTGTCCCACTTGTGCAAAAATATTGTTTCCAAAGACAGATGGATCTCATCTTGATGATGATTCTTGGGCCAGCCTCCAGAGAAGAACCATTCTTTCTGACAGGTCTTCCACCCTGATACTTGAAGGGCTTATAATTCCTAACGGGGCTCACCTGCACATCCCTACCTGTGTTGTTTGCCTCTCTGATTCAAACAATACCTACTCAGAGCAGGAGTCTGCAGAATCTGAAATCCTGGAAACTTCAGATGGAAGCAAATTCAGCTGCCAGTGAAAAGAGAAGGAATACATCCAAAAATTATTTAAAAATCTAGGAAGATAAGAAGTTCTGATGTTGAGGTGATTTAAGTCATGAGATTAGGTTTTAGAGACTGTCATATGTTATCTCAGTTTTAGTTTTAGTCAGTTCCAGGCTACTATAACAAGAACCCCATAGACTGGGTGGCTTAAACCACATTCATTCCTCACAGTTCTGGAGATTGGGAAGTCCAAGATCAAGGCACTAGCAGATTCGGTGTCTGGTGAGAGTCCACTTCCTGGTTGATAGGTAGCCGTCTTCTCTGTATGTCCTCACACGGCAGAAGGGATGAGAGACCTGGGCTCCTTTTTATGAGGTCACTATTTCCACTCATGAGGGCTCCACCGTCATGACCTAGTCAACCTTCTAAAGGCTCTACCTCCTAACACCATCACATTAGAGGTTAAGATTTAAACATACGAATTTTGGAGAGGACACAAACATTCAGTCCATAACAGTAGTCATCTGAGATTGAGTTTCTGTTATAATGAGATGTGAACTAGTATATTGGCATCCGTGAGCTTTGTGTAATAACATGCCTATTTGGAACTCTGAATGGATTTCCAAGGTATCTTCCCATTAGTCCCTCTTCTCATCAAGATGTAGCCTAGTGGGAGCTGGTAACTTCTTTTCCATTTGCCTTTTCTTTTCTTTGTCTCTTGAAGCACAACAGAGCCATTGATAGTCTTCCAGTGCAAGTTCACCCTTGGAAGTATGTGTTTCCATAGTAAAAGGGAAGCCAAAGGCATGCAAAGCCACCAAGAAGTCTCCCAGGAGATGACACAGGTAACGTTTTCCAGCTCCTCGGCATTCTGTCCCCATTCTAGAAGAAGTGTGTCTACAGTTTTGGCACAGCCTCTGTTCTTCACTGAGAGAGATGCCATGAGCCACAGGCCAATGTTTCCCTTTGCTGACTCTGATCACAGAGCTTTGTTCAGCATCTTCTGTGCATCCTTCAGAAGCTGCAGACTTTTCCAGCAACACCATCAAAAGCTGTTGTCACAAATACCTCTCCTACAGCAGTCAAGGGAATGCTTTTTCAGCCTATGTTCTTTCCAACTGAGTGTAAAATACAGTTATTAAATGGATCTCTCTTTCATTCATTATTTAGGGATATCAGCACATTTGGAGCCTCCCTGCAGCCCCGTTCTTTGACAGCGCATACCATTTCCGGGTAGCTGCGCCGGTAAGCTCTCTTTTTTTCTTTTCAGTGAGAAAGAAATGGGCCATTAGATAAATAAATAGATAAATAAACTTTAGCTACAATTAATTCTTACATTAATCATTCTCTCTTTTCTTTTCCCCCTTGTTCTGACAGGATTTAGCTGACTGTTCAACGGATCCTTATTTTGCTGGGATATTCTTTACAGACTACTTCTTTTACTTCTATCGACACTGTGTCTAATTTATTCAAGTTTGTTTGGGGACTTTACCAAAGAAAAATACTCAAATACAGTTAACGGAAACTTACAACCTCTTGCAACTTCTTTCTTCTCTTTGTAAAACATTCACATTTATTGCCAAAGGGCTTTTTCCAGGCTTTGGCTTCCAACAGTTTTGAGACATTAATGAGGAGAATAAAGTGTTTGCTGGAACTTGAGATAATGTGGTGTTTGATTTTGCCATGACTATGAGGAAAACGTTTCCTGGAGTAAACAGCACTGTTGGATTTGAAAATACTGCTTCTGTTCCTAAGGAAGCTGTGAAGTCAAAATGGGTAGGTTTAACTTTACTTTGTCTTAATGTATCTCAATGCTTTTGAGAAAAACAAAAAGGCCTATTTCAGCCATGTCAACTTGGACCCACTAAACACAGACTCTTGAGAATTTGTGATAACCAAATGTGTGTTGGGGGAGGGGTGGGTGGTGTCTGATGCTGAGCTCACATTTAGGCAAACTATTGCTATGTGTAGGTATGTGTGTGTGCACACGCATGCACACTACATACACTAGCGTAGAGAATGTAGCTTGCTAATAAATTGGGCTTAAGAAAAATAATTGCAGTTCTACTTTGTAAGGTTTGATGGATGCTAACTTTCTGTATCCTCTTGGGAAGCACTGGCTTGTGACAAGTCCTTTAAGGTAACCCAGACAGTCTAGGCTCAGATAGTTGCATTTGATCTTCCAGTTGTCATTGATTTGTTTTGTTGTTCTTCCTCTACTTATAAGGGGTTCTCTTACAGAGCATTAAGACCCATTTCCATTGTTTATAGCTGAATTAGCTTTGGATATTTCTACCTGGTTTATGGGTAGATTTGTATGCCCTTCCCAACTTAGAAGAGCCAGAAATCCTCTAGCTGGAGTGTTATCAACTATATCTTTTATTTTCTGTATTCTGATGTTTTGACGTCTTGGGGTCTTGCTGACCCTCATGGAACACCACCTCCCAGGGTTAGCCAGTTCCTAGAGATAGTAAACAACTTGCCCACCTGCGATTTTTCAAATACAAACCAGCAAATCTGGAGCTCACACTCCAACCACCTCCTTTATCAAGTTCTCATAATGGGGGCCACTATCCACCTGCCCTAATCACTCCAGGGCCATGTACCAGACAACTAGGGACAGCCCCTATAGCCCAGCGCCTGCTACGATTACTCAACTAGCCAGTCCCAAGCCTGTTTCCCCTGCCTCACCTGTTCCTTCCGTGGGAACCACAAAAAAGGCTTTTACCCAAGGTTGCTTCCTCTCCCCCTGCCTCCTGACTGACCCTGCTGCTTCCCAGTGTGGTCCCCCAAGGCATGGCACGTCTCCTCCTCTTGGGAACTGTAACAAACTACCTTTTCAATGGTGATCATCTTCTGATCTGTTGACCTTCCTACCTTAAAATTTTCATTAATACACTATATTTTAGGACATGGCGATTCAAGCCACTCTAGCTCTAGCTTCAGGTAGCAGGGCTGCTGAATGGCTTATCTTACTGTTGGCATGTGTGATACTGTAATTTACAATAAGAAATGTATATTTGATTTTGTCCCCAGTTCCTGGCACAGAGCTCCTAAAACCTTTGGAATTCCCTAAGTGCTGAGAGAGATAAAGGTGTCTTTTGTTTTGTCAGTGAGGTGACATTTGGATGGCACAAAAGGATGGGGCTGGTTGCCAGGACAACCAATCATATGATTAGAGGGTTTGAACTTCCAGTCCCACCCGTGATTTCTGGGGAGGGACAAGGAGCTGGAGGTTGATTTCAATCAATTAATCAATCATAATTAATCAATCATAATTTAATCATGCCTATATAATGAATCCAGAGTTCGGAGAGCTTATGGATTGGTGAACACGTGGAGATTTGGGAAGACTGGCAGCCTTGGAGAGGGCATGGATGTTCTTCACCCTTTCTCTGCCCCTAACCCTGTGTACCTCTTCCATCTGGCTGTTCCTGAGTTATATTCTTTTATAATAAACACAGAATCTAGTAAGTAAAATGTTTCTCTGAGTTCTGTGAGCCACTTTAGCAAATTAATCAAACCCAAAGCAGGAGATGGGGTCAACTCTAATCTATAGCTGGTAGGTCAGAAGCAAACATGATAACCTGGGCTTGCAACTGGCATCTTAAGTGGGCAGGAGGGGGGGGTGGGGGTGGGGCGTCCTGTAGGACTGAGCCCTCGGCCGGTGGAATCTGCAGCTGTGCCCCGAGAGACAGTACGAGAACCGAGCTGAGTTGCTGGACACCTCACTAGTGTCTGAGAATGGTCTGGTGCTGTGCGGGTGAGACTCCTCCATACAGTGGAATTGGGTCCCAGAACCGTGTTTAGCCTATGAGTCAAGTAGGATGAGGCGGATGGATATTTTTTCGCCCATGACAGTGGTAATCAGTAGGAATAAGTCCCCATTTGCTTATTTTCAAATGGGATTAAACACGTGCCACATGGATGGAAATTACAAGAGCTATTAAGAAAAGACACGTTCCTTACTGACACAAAAGGCATTTCGAAATAACTTAGGGACACAAAGGTAGTTTAACCCAGTAGGACCTGAGGTTTTGGAGCCAAACAGTCCTTGCCTTGGTCCTGAATCCAGACTTTGTGTATCCTTGAGTGAGTTACTTAACTTCTCTAAGCCTCAATTTCCTCATTTATAGAAGAGGATAGTGAGTATCTGCAATAGATAGGATTAAATGAGATAAAATACGTAAAACTCAGATAGGCTCTAAATAAATATAAGCTGTTATTGTTATACAGAACAGAATAGTTATAAAGATTACAGTGGGATAATAAAGGGACTGAGTAACTGAACACTCACACACAGAGGCATTCCATCAACTGTAAAAACCAAACTGCAGATAGAGCATATGCATGTGTATTACATAATTAATTACATTAATTTGACTCTTCTGCTGTTAAATACTGGTCAGTAGCCAAGTTACAGGAGTTCCTTTCGGCACATAAATCCCATGTTCTTATTCACTCACATATGTTCAGGATAATATGGGGGTTTCAGATATCTAGTTGAGTAATGTTGCCTATAAGGAGATTTCTGTAAAATGAATAGTTTCCCCACTAATCCATAAAAAACTGAAAGTCTTTTCCCCACAGAAAACTTATTACAGGAGATGTGTTGAAAGACTTCAGAACGAAAGGATTTAAGATAGTGAACAGACCTGTGGCAATCTGTGGCTTCTTGGAATCAGTTAGGACTAGAATAGACTTTGCTGCAAGTTTCTTTTTGTATTTACAGCACTTCTCCAGTTGTTAGACGTCCACTGTGGACCGGGCTGCTTCAGGCCAAAAAATTTTTCCTTGTGCCAGAGAATTTTCTGAATTTCTACTGGAGTATTCCCAAATTCACAGGATTAAAATGTCTATAAGAGTATTCCTCTCAAAAGCCCATAACTCCAGTCTAATCATGAGCAGAACATCAGACCAATCCCAGACAAGAGGCATTCTACAAAATACCTGGCCAGCACTACTCAAAATTCTGGAGGTTACCAAAAACAAAGGAAGTCTGGGAAATGGTCACAACCAAGAGGGGCTTTTTTATGTTTTTTAAAAATTTTGGCTGTGCCGCGTGGCTTGCGGGATCTTAGTTCCTGGACCAGGGATTGAACCTGGGCCCACAGCAGTGAAAGTGCAGAGTCCTAACCACTGGACCGCCAAGGAATTCCCAAGAGGAGCTTAAAAAGACATGGTAACTAAATGTGGTGTTCTAGAGGGCACCCTGGAACCAAAAAAGGAGATTAGATACAAACTAAGCAATTTGAATAAAGTGTGGACTTAATAATAATGTACAGTATCAATATTGGTTCATTTTCTGTGACAGATATACCATACTAACGTTAAGATGTTAATAATGGGGGAAACTAGCTGTGGGGTTTATGGGAACTCTGTGTACCAGCTTCATAATTTTTCAAAATAAATCTAAATTTGTTCTAAAATAAAAAAATTATTTAAAAAAAGTAAGAAATGAAGTCCATAACAGCTGGGCTGAAATATCACATGCTGCCACAAGGTGTCATTTGTGATAACATGACTTCAATTCTGCGCATTAATTTAATTAGCTTCCAAATACCATAAAGAATACTATATGATATAAAATATAAACACTATAAAATATACAATAACACATAACAAGTAAGATTACAACGATTTTTCTTGAGTTCTAATATAGGAACTCAAGCTCTGTCAGATTTTTTTTTTAAACTACCACACCATAAAAATTCACTTAAAACAATTAGCATGTATGGGTTCAGACCTCCAGCATTTAAAACTAGAAACATTTTGTAGAGCTCTTAACCTACCTCTTCTTCCATTTTTATTTTTATTTATTTTTCCTACACAATTTTTCAATTTCAACTTTAGTGGCACATTCCCAACAACACGTTATTTGAGTCGTGAAACTAAAGATCCTCAAGAGGAGAGCAACAAAGGAATTCTGTTGGCAGTTTACAAACCTCCTCTTACTGGATTCTCACAAGAACCTTGTGATGTTGGGAATGAGGGGAGTTACTCACAGTTCCCCACTCTACAGATAAGGAGACTGAGGCAGAAATAGGTTAAGCAAGGATAAGAGGTGAGCCAGATTTTCTGGTGTTAAATTAATCCACTTCCACTATATACATATCTTATTCAGCGTGGGCTGTCATACAAAATTGAAGCTTGGGTGGCTTAAACAACAGGAATTTATTTCTCACTGTTCTGGAGACTGGAAAGTCTAAGATCAAGCTGCCAGCAGGCTCAGTGTCTGGAAAGGGCTGTATTCTTGAGCTGAGACAGCCACCTTCTCACTGTGTCCTCACATGATCTGTCCTTAATGCATGCATAAGTAGGGAGGGAGAGAGAGAGAGAGAGAAATCAAGTTCTTTGGTCTCTCTTTTTACAAGGGCATTAATTCCATCATGAGGGCCCTATCTTCATGACCTTGTCTAAACCTAATTACCTTCCCCAAATCAGATCTCCAGATACCATCACACTGGGGACTAGACTTCAACATAAAACTGAGCAGAAGGGCTTCCCTGGTGGCGCAGGGGACATGGGTTCGTGCCCCAGTCCGGGAAGATCCCGTACCACAAAAAACAAAAAACAAACAAACCGAGCAGAACGCCGAAGGGGCCTTTCCAGGAACAGACCACCCCCTTATCCCTCACCTCTTGTTTATAGAAAAGCTT